GCGGCTCAACTGAAAATCGCCTGCCTGAAGTTCAGGAGAGCAGTTGCTCAGACAACAACAGGCTCGGCACGTAAATCAGAGAGAGAGAGAGAAAGCGGCAAAGGGACAGATTGCAGCTACGAATTCGATCGGTTAGAGGTAGACTGATTGGCGCGAAGTAATGATACTGGCTCTCCAAGACAGTCTCACGGCAGCCAGTTCTCCGATCATATGATTTTCCAGGCTCAAACTTGGGCTCCGTTGGTTATTAGTCCAACGCTTTGTACATAAAGTTGCGGAAATTCCCATTGAAAAATTCAAAAGATTAACTGGCGAGCATACGTTTGCCTTGGATAAATTTTCTTCAGGTCTGTACATTTATAGCATAAGTAACTAAATAAAACACGCAGATTGGTAGAAAAAAAATCGTGTGGTCGTCAGGGCCGGGGAACAAAATTGGGTTCAGCAATCTGATCAGTGTCAGGCGGAACTGGCCGCCGGGAACCCTATACCCGATCGTAACCTACAGGATAACTAGCCCGTAGCTTAGCGCCTAGAGCGTCGGACTAATAAAGACCAGAGGAATTACAAACCTGGGGTCAGATGTGGCTGGTTGCTGACGACTAAAGAGACCGTCTGATGGGATGACTATGGCATGCATAGTAAGATCAATTTGATGGACCTACTGAAAAGTTGTTAAATTGAGGGAAACCGACATGGACCGAGAATAGGAGAGAAAGCGAATTTGCAATAATTGAGAATTTTAATAATGTACCTTTTGGCATCTCGACTCGGCTTTTTCAACAAACTACCAGTTAAGTGCACAGGAATGCTTCAAACTAACTGAAGTCAGACTACCAGAAGCCTCTACAAGGATGGAACACCTACCAGTCTGTTCATGAGAATGTGGTGGAAAAAGCATTATATGTCCTAATCTATCTCACCCAATAAAAACATGCCGACAGGCGGATGTCGTTAAAACATTCTGAGCACTCTATCTTGTGCCAGGTTACCGCAAACAGTTGTCACAAGGACGTTTCCTAGCGACGGTAGCTAACAACGGCTGCTAAGATTGAAGAACAGCCAGCAAACCTTTCGGACTGTAATGAATCTGCTTTATCTCCGTCAGCCCTATTGATCCTATCTCCTGAGTCCCTTCGTGATCTATGTAATGTTTATCCACCTACGGATCTGCGTTTCCAGTACTGTGTTGAAATAATGCAGTAGATGTGCTACGCATGGAAGGCCCACCAAAATTCTGAAGAGTGTTTTCTATTAGAAAAAGACTACTTAAGTAGAATTGTAACATTAATGATTGTTCAGCGTAATCATAGGATATTTTAATATCGTCAGATTATCGGCTTGTAAATAAGCGTTTTTTATCGACGGCCTGTGAGAACGACAGCTGGTAAAAAATGACTACGTACGCAGTATGAACTTGCGTCATTGATTTTCTGTACCCGTCTCAAATAGAAAACCAGAATAAAAATGTAACTTTTTGTACTCATTGGTTTGCAAATTACGTCTTCTTCAACTACTATAATAAAAGAGGCACAGCCTTTAGTTTTAATTTTAATTTTTTCCATTCCCGAATAATTTCTAAGTTGACTGACCGGTAAACTTGCATTCAGCGTTTCCGGACTCTAAGTTGTATGACTACAATGCAAGTGAAACTATAAGTTTATATACGACATAACGAGTGTGTCATAGGTTTTGCAGGGGGCGTGGGCCACAGTTTTACCTTCCAGACAGTATTAATAAATGGACCGATGACGAACTACGCGAGGGTGTTTCACGCTTTCAAAGATCTTATGATTATTAACTTTTCTAAAATCGACGGATACACCTTGATTGAGTATAGAATTGTGAGGAAAGTAATTTTTTTATCAAGTAAATGCAGAAAAGAATATTTATTTGTATCCCTTCCACACAATACCTCTGAATTTTCTAAGGTTACCAAAAATAAATGGGAAAATGTTAACTAATTAAATAGCCACTTTTTACGGTGCAGTGCTCGCAGGAAAATTACAACCTAACTGGGGCAATATTTGGTAATGGATAAAACATTTGAGAATTTCAGTTAACAATCCAAGAGATAGCACAACTGTCGTAACTACATAGGCCAGTCAGTGAGAATTAACAGTGGGAATATACCGTTAAGCAGTCCTAGTTTTCAAAGAAACGACGACACGAAGAGATGGACGGCAGAACAGTTTATTTATCAGCCTGGATGAAAATATGGTTTTTTAAGTTACACCGGTCTGCATAAAAGACATATTACGAGTCAAGTTATAGATCCCGTATTCGACATTAAATTTCTACATTCTGGGGTGATTTATAAAATGCTTCGCAAATACGACATCGTTTAACAATATTTTTTATGACATTTCGTCTCGCGGGTCGCCGGCGAGCTGCTAGGCCAAGAAAGGGTAGAAAAAACAAACGTTCGATAAGTAGAAATGATGGCACGCAGAAACCGGTTATAAGAGAGGTGGCAAGAAAAAAGCCCGCATGAATGGCGACTAATAAAGCAAGCTGTGTTAGTCTCTGCCGACTAATCACCTCAGAGGAAAAAGGAACCAAGTTGTAAAAAGTGACCAATACTGGGCTGCTATTCCGCAGACTGTACAAGTGAAGATTTGGTGCAGTTAACCAAGTAAGCAGAATCATCGCACATTATTTATAAACATCAGGTAGTCAAATGTCTTTTTACTCACAATTTAGTAAGAGTATAAGAATCTAAACTTGAGATGATGACGGATTACCGAAGCAAACTTCAGAGAAATAAACGGATTTTGTATGAGCTAGAATACATTATTTTGAGCGGTGAAAGCTGTTGTCGGAAAATGCAGGGCATGCCTAGGTGCATTCCTGAGTATCTCCCGATGAATAGGAAGGCGAGAACTGTCCATGTCGCGATCTGACAGAAAGGGAGCGCGGATGAGAGAAAGAGTGTAAGGCGGAGAGGCAAGTACGCGTATGAGGGATCAAAAAGTGTCGCAAAGTCTTTGATAGCATTTGGCTTTTTATCTGAGAGCGGTTAAAGTGTAGCGTGAACTAACCTCGTCCTGTCTTGTCCAACCGGATTCCATGGCTATGGCATGTGAACAGACAGGCATTATGTTCCTGGCGGCGTAGAGGAGACAGCAGCCAAAGAAAAGCGCCACCATCCAGGCTCTACGCGTTTGACTAAAGAACATAAAAAACAGCGGATTGTAGAGAAGAATAGACGATACAAGTCAAAATAATCAACAGGTTTGCTTGCCAGTTGCAAGGCCAGAATGAAGAGGAGGAATTATTTGAAAGAGTCAGCAGATGCAGTAGGGGGCGGCAGTAGGGATACAGACTTGCGTTTATTCGGCATTCAGTCAGACCCTGGAATTCGGAGTTCTAGAGGTCGCACATGGATCTATTAAGATCTTCTAATAGGTAAGATCGATAGAGCGGACAAGGAAAATACACCGACTCTTGAACTGTCTCAACACAACCGCCTTGTTTATTAAAAATTAGGGCAAACCTTATTGCGGTTTGAAATAAAGCTAGTAAAATACTGGGCGGGCTAAAGGGTTCTTTCTTAGCACTTAAAGTAA